TTCATTTCCCCAAGCTTGTTTGCTCAGCTCACACCTGAAGCTGACAGCGGTGGCCAGGGTGGTGTGTTGAGAGAGGCAGAGTGGTGGGCATCGGGGCCATGACCAGTACCTGGCTTCCCTCTTGGAGCTCGGTTTTCATGTCTGTTAAACAGGCATTCCTGATGGGGTGTAAGAGGCAGACGCAGAGGCATGATAGGCACGGCACACAATTGCTGCCTCGTGCCTGGTCTTTGTCACTGTCGTCTTTGAGGTCCTCCTCCCTATGCTCTTGGCGAAAAGGGGAGAGTCTGGAACAGACAGCCTGGGTGGGCATCGCTATCCTAGCGCTCAGCAAGCAGGCCAGCTCCTGTGCTGCAGCCCCGGGGAGATGCTCCTTCTTAGGAATTACATTCAGTAGGAGCTGATCAAATGGGGGAGAAACCCGCCCACCAATATCTGAACAGCCGGAGGCAGCAGCCGGGCCTGCACTCAAAGCGGAAAATCCCCTGTAGCATCAGAATGGAGCAGGGCAGAGTCTGGGTCTCTTGATGCTGCAACCACTTCAGCGTTCAGCACACTGCACCGGAAGACAGGGGCAGTGGCTAGCTTAGCTTCAGAGAGCCTCTCTGGAGGTGAGGTGGGCCAGACGGGCCCAGGTAGATGTAGGTGGGAGGATAGGCATGACATAGAATGAACACTAGTTACAGGGGCAGGAGGCAGGGTGCAACCAGAGGTACAGGGATGAGCAGAAAGGGGTTCTCCTGAGGTTGGTTTGTTCTGGGCCTTGGGAGCGAGCTGGGGAGAGACTGAAAGCTCCTTGTGCTGGCAGCCTTGGTGCCTTGGTGACCCCAGGCTCATGTTGCTATGGGAGTGTGGAGGCTACACAGCTACAAGGCCACAGTTTCAAACATGGCTGCTGACCCTCAGTGTCCCTGACTCTGACACTTAGGGTCTGTGGTTGCCGATGGAAACTGGGCTTGGAGATTGGGCTGGTGCAGTAAACTGAGCTTGGGGGTTCGCCGAGGTGCATGAAAACCCTTCCTGGGAGCAGATTCTCGCAGCTGAGGAGGTCATACACTGCAGACTTCCTGGTCTCCAGGTTTTTCTTGTCAACCCCACATCAATAACCGTGTGCATATCCTGTTTCTTTTTCTCCATGGCTGCCAGGCAGCTTTGGGCCGGGTTTGTGTTCAGACCTGAGGGCGGGATGCCTTCCACCCGGCTCGCTACCCAGCATTCTATCTGCCCTGAGTGGACTGATTCCTTATCTTGACCATAATGATTCCATTGTGCCCGGGCTTTTACTGTGAGCAGCCACAAATCCTCTTGGCAGGAAAGAAATACATTTTTGGTCCCCAGGGTTCGCTTTTGGCCCAGAGTCTGCAACTGACCAGGTTTCCCAGGTTGACTTCAGAGGACTGCGCTGCACTCTACTGGAGGCGCCTTGGCCCTTTCACCCCCTCCTCTACCTTGGTGGGAGGTATACGAGGTGGGGAGGGGGAAACTGTGCCCTTATTACACCGGGTGCAGAGTGGAAGGAGGCCTAGTCACAGGTCCCTCCCAGACGGACCCTCTTTTGGTGGTGGAGACAGGCCCCCACCACTTCCTCTCTTTGTCCCTCAGTTCTAAGGACCCTACCTACCATCCATGAAATCCCCACCCCACACCCATGTACTGCCCCCAAGATACACCCAGGGATGGGGGTTAGGTATCACCAGCTAAGGTGAATATATGGGCTGGAATATGAACAGGTGTCATGGTGCTAGTCTCAACACCGTGGGGGGTGTCATCTCCTCTGAGCCTCCTTACATATGGGACTATCACAGGTCCTGGAAGCTGGCAATTAACTGGACAAAAGGCCACAGCTGCCCAATCAGACAGGCCTGCAGGCACCGTGTATTTTGAAACAACACTGGGCTGGCCTGGACTATTTGAGCCCAGCCCAGAGATCTGATATAAAAACACAGCCACTGCCAGTGCTCCAGGAAGGGTGGCCTTCTTGCCATCAGGTGTTCCAACAACACTGGTGCCTCCCCTCCTCCGCCCTCACCCCAGGGGGCTTCAGAGATTCAAGCTGCTTGGTTGTTAAGTATTAGTAGTCCCGAGTTCTTTTGGATTCGGTCCTGAGCTGTAAGGGGATATCCGGATTATGTTTTTCCTCTCCACCGACTGAGCGTCTGCATCCAGGTTAAGTATACTCACATGTGTCCGTGTGTGCTGCAGGCTGGTGCAGGCAGGAGGACCTGAGCACCCTATACTTAGGCCAGCACCCTCCTCCACCTTGCTGGGGTGACTTCTGTATTTTGCCTGAACTCTTCTTGAGGCTGTGAAACCTCTATTGCGAGGCCCAGAGTCCCAGCTGATGTCACCCATGAAGCTGAATTTAGGGCTCAGAGTCTGGGCTCTCTGCAGCCGGTTCTTTCAGAGTAGTTTCTGCTCCTCTCCCCCACCACCCCAGGAACATGGGCCATAGTCACCTCTAGGCCTCAGTCTCCTCAACCATAGACAGAGTCTGACAACTTTGGTTTTGTAAAAGAGACCTGGAAATAGAGGAGGCCAATTAATGCCAAAACCATAGAGACCACAGCTACCACAGAAGTAGATGGAGCTGTTGGTCCACAGCTCACGGGGCCCCTCCTCCATACACTATGGGTACGTGTGCGAACAGTCAAGGCTTATGGCATCCCAGGGACCTGTGAGCGACCCACCTCATCCTCAGATGTGAGGCACACAAGGCAACGCGTCCCTGCATGGGGTTTGTCTGTCTAACCAGCTGCTTAGCTGCCTCTCCAGAGCATCGGCTCCGAGAGCCCCCCTGGGTAGGGCACAAGCTAGAGCCTAGAACATCATTCCTGGGACTAGGAAATGAAAAAGAGTAGGGCTTGTTGACAGCCATGTTCACAGAGCTAATACCCAGGAGGCCTGGCTCTAGGCTGGCATGGCCTTTACTGCACCCAGGGCACCCAGGGCCCTTGGAGCTCACTGATGATCCAGGCATGCCAGTCTGCGTAACAGGACAGTTCTGGCTGCTGGGCCAACACATTTCTGCAAAACTCAGTCTCCCAGGGACTCAAAGCCCCCCCCCCCCCAACCCTACCCCAACACACACACCCCAGCCGAGGAAGTCTCTCTACCTCTTCAACCTGGGAGCCAGACTTTTTTTTTTTTCCCAGTCTCCTGCTATGTTTCTCCTTGCTTATCCACAACCCCAGGATCCAGTTTCCTAAAACACAATTGCCCTTTCCTACAGCTAGTCCCTGCCTGGGTCCCTTCCTCCTCTGTGGGAATCCATTCCCCACAACCTAAGGGTCGGTCAAGACCTGCCTGGAAATCTTCATTTTATGGTCGAATTTTGAGTCAGGGAACCCAAACCCTGCATGGGTGTTATGGCTAGGTGTGTGATCCCAGGCAAGTTAATCCCCTCTCTGAGCTTCATAAAATGCGCTGGTAGCAATATTTACAGAATTCAAAAAATGCTACTCTGCTCTAGACAAAGGTGTCTTGGGTTGGATTTGAGGCTACTGAGTGTAGAGAATGGGGACTGCCTCCCTATCTTATCAATAATCTGGGCTCTATCTTTGGGTGCTCTGAGATGCTGGTTCTACAGTAGCAATTATGAGGCCCTGGGCCCAGGAGGCCTTTCTGTAAGTGTATGGGAAAATCCCTGGGCACAATCTCCTCCCTAGTGGGACCGACTTGCCATTTCCAATGTATCCCCACCCCCCCAGGTTCCTGACTGGCAATCTCACAAAGCCCTCTCTTCACAGGACCAGAGAGAGCTGAGATCTCCCTGATCCACTTTAGGTAGTTGATTCTGTTCCTCGTACCACTCCAGGCTCAGTTTCCCCATTTGGGCCTGAGCCCAGAACATAGTAAGTGTGTCACCACGTGAAGTGACAGTGGAGCCTGGCACTGTGGGATGCTGTGAGGATCCACAGTGGATGAAGAGGCCAAGCAACTCTCTGTCTCTCTGTGTCTCTGTCTCTGTCTCTGTCTCTGTCTCTCTCTCTCTCTCTGTGTGTGTGTGTGTGTGTGTGTGTGTGTGTGTGTGTGTGTATGCACGCTGCAACCTCAGGTTCTTTTCTCAAGAGATGGTTTTGGCAGTTCGGGCCAGAAAGGACCTGCTCTGCTGTCTGACTTCAGGCAGGAGCTTAGGAAGGACAGGACTAATGGGGGTGGGGACACAGGAGAGATAAAGGCTAGGCAGTTCCAGCAGGGATCCTGGCAAGAGCCCTCTAGCCTACCTATCCCAGTGAGTTGGATCACAGGTATAGAGGCAACTCTCCCAGGCCATGTACAGGTCCTCACAATCTTCCTCCCAACCTACCCTAGCAACTTCCAGGACTTGCCACATGGGGTTACGAGGGAGAGTTCATGGGGTCCTGGCTTGGTGACAAGAAGTCTCTCAAAAGTATTTTATGCTGAGGACTGAGGGTTGAGCAAAAGAACAAGAGTGGGTGGCACTGGGGAGAAGTCCGTGGGGGTCTCTAGACCCTCCTCTGCTCAGTGGGCCACAATAACCTTGGCTCTGATTTAGAAGCAATACCCGGGTCCAGCTCACTCTGACCACCCAGCAACTAGGCAAAGGCTTCTGGCCATGACTCCACCCCATGTGTAAGGGAAGACTTCTTGGGACACATCTCACCCCACCTTGCCCACTTTAGGAGACAACCCAAAGAGTATGCTGTATGCCAGTGCTACACAGAGCTCTGAGGACAGACAATGCCTGGGGCAGAACACACGGGTAGAATGTGGGGAGGGCACCTCCAAGGATCCAAACTTGGAAGCAGCTTGAGGCCCTCCATTCCTTTGCCCCTTAGTCAATTACAGAAAAGAATTTTGAGTATAGACTTTGCATATGCCCCAAATATTTAAGTATTTAAAGAGACCCCCTCCCTCATGAAAGAGAGACAGAACTCAGCCTTCAGAGCACCCCTAGTATGTGCCTGTGTGGGATACTTGGAACAGTCTGGAGAGTTCCCCCACACCCTAGCTTAAAGACTGACCAATGTACCTCACACTTAGATTACAAAGGTTTATTTAGAAAATGGTTTGGTTGTTTTGGCTGTCATCGTTTTTGGCAAACAAATACTCTCAGTAACCAGAGATTGTCTGCACCCTCTCTCCTCCCCCAGATAGACGCTTTTTAGGTCATAGGAAGTCAGTCCTTGATCACAGGGAACGCTGAGAGTTGGGGGGGGTGTCCTTTCTTGCTGCAGTTGTCTGCCGTCTAAAACCCTAACTTCACAGTCACACTCCACAGAGGCTCTCTCAGGAACTGGATCCACAACCTAGCCACAGCCACTCGCTGAGATGGGAAGGCAAAGGGGTCTCCCTTTCTCCTCCCCACTCCCCGAGGCCCAGTTGTCTCTCGCCCAGCTCCTGCTGGCTACATTCCACACTGCGCCCTGAATTCCAGGCCACTCCTGGAACTCTGGAGAGGCCACCCCTGATTGGTCCCTCTGCCGGCCCGAGTTCGGAGCTGTCCAGGAGGTCAGTGCCAGGAGGCCTGAGGGTCACTGCCTGAAGCCCCTTCTCCTCCTTCGAAAGAGGATGTGCTTGAAAGAGCGCCTGAAGTCCTGATTGAAGACGGTGTAGATGACCGGATTGAGCGAACTGTTGCAGTAGCCGATCCAGAAGAAAAACTTAAAGAGCGGTTCTGGCAACTGGCAGGCCTCGCGGCAGATACCATACAGGCTGTAGCTAAAGAAGAAGGGGAACCAGCACAGTACGAACACGCCCATGACCACCGCCAACACGAAGGTGAAGCGCTTCTCGCGCGCCTGGGCCACCTTGCGGCGGCACATGCTGCTGCGCGCCCGGCGCCGGCGCGACAGAAAGAACTCGACGGAGCGCGAGCTTGCTCGTGACAGGCGCCCGCCAGGTCCTGGGGACCGAGACGCTGTCCGAGCGCCCTGCTCGGCCGCCAGCCCCGGTCCCTGTCCGTCTGCACTGCCCATGTCCCCCTCGGCTCCCTCTCTCCGCCGCCCTCCTCTGCGCAGCGCGCCCCGGCGCCTCCGCCTCTCTGCCGCGCTGCTCTCATCTGGCTCCACATCAGTGCGCGGGGGCGCGCAATGCCCGTTCTCCCCCGCTGCCTTGCCCAGCCCGTTCTCTGTGGTCGGGGACGCACCGTCGGGGCCAGAGGGGGTACGTTTCTCGCTGAGCGTACGCGTGCGCAGCTTGGCCACGCGGTAGATGCGTGCATAGACCAGGCCCATGATGAGGCAGGGCGCGAAGAAGGAGCCTATGCAGGAGGACAAGATGTACCAGGTCTCATCGTTGAGGCCGCACTGCGGGTAGGCGGCGCCGTCGGGCCGTCGGTAGAAGGAGACGAGAGGCGGGAAGGAGATGACAGCCGAGATGAGCCACACGGCCACGATGGTGGCCTTGACACGGCGTGGCGTGCGCTTCAGGTTGTACTCTACCGCCTGCGTCACCGACCAGTAGCGGTCCAGGCTTATAGCACACAAGTGAACGATGGACGAGGTGCAGAAGAGCACGTCCAGTGCCAGGTACACACCACACCACACTTGCCCGAAGTACCAGTAGGCCATGAGCTCATTGGCCAGCGAAAAGGGCATGACCAGTGTGGCCACCAGGATGTCAGCTGAGGCCAGAGACACCAGGAAGAGGTTCTGCGGGGCGCGCAGCGCTCTGCTGGTCAGCACAGCGATCACCACGAGCACGTTGCCCACCACGGTGAAAACGATGAGGAAACCCACCACGGCTGCCAGCCCCGCCACGGCACCTGCGGAGTACTGGCCCGGCGGCGGCCCCCAGTCAGTCCCCGAGACGTTGGCACCCCCGCCGCTACCCCAATCGCCCGCGTCGCTCCCGTTGGGGCCCTCAGCCGCTGCCACCGCCAGCGCCGCGGCCAGCGCTGGGGACGCCATGGTCCTCCCGCGAGCTACGCGGTCCTGCCTGGAGCCGGGGCGCAGCCGCGGCAGCTCGGGCGCCCCCCAGCCAGGGTCGGCGTCCGCATCGCCGCCTGCTCCCCCGGCGTGCCTGCTGGGGGCCGCGAAGCCCAGGAGCCGGCCCTCGGCCGTGGTGGCCCGGCGGGCGGGCGGCGCACCGGAGAGCGTGGCTGCCGGGCTCCCCGCAGCTGCCGCGCGCGTAAGTGCAGAGCTGGAGGTGCCCGGAGAGCTCGGCGACGCGGCGGTGGGGGGAAGGGGGGTAGGTCCCGGGTCCTCGCGCGGCCCCGCCCTCGGCCTGGGTTCAGTAGGAGCGCCCGGGCCGCCAGCCCACGGAGATGCGGTGTCCAAGCAGGCGCACGCTAGCTGCTCCACGGTCCGGGTTCCCGACTGGGCTGCAGGCTCCAGGAGGCAGCACGGACAATCTCCTTCCCATCCTCCTGGCTGAGGCTAGGCGAACCAGGGCGCGGGCTGCCGCTCTTCCGGGCCCCCGCGCCCAACCTCCGACTGCAACTTTACTTTGCCGGGCTCGGCGCCTACACCAGCTGTCCTCCTGCTGCTCCGGGTGCGGGCGCCCCCCGTGGTCCGCGTTCGGCCGTGCGGGCGCCGCCTCGCCCTCCCCGCTCGCGGGTGCAGCGTCTTCGCCGCCGCCGCGGTGCGCTTGGCGCAAGTGCAGCCGCTCGGGCTCGGCTTCCAACTTGAGTCCAGTTGCGCAGCGGGGAGGGTGCAACGGGGCGGGGCGGGGCGCCCCGCAGGCCCGAGCCGCCCGCCCAGGGGGAGCGGGCCGGGAGCCGGAGCCCGCGGCCGCCTGGGCGAACCTGCCGGCGGCGCCGGGGAGGAGCCCGTGGCGGCGGCGCAGGGCGCGCACTCAGCGAGGGCGCCCCCTCCAGGGCTGACTGCAGCTTGCGGGGCCCGGTTGAGCGCGGGCTGGCCTGAGCGGTGAGTTCTAGAAGCCTGCTCTTTCTAAGACCAAAGCCTCCACCTCACTCGGTTATGGTTACAAGCGGTGGAGCGCGCGGGCGCGCACACCCTCGTGCAACAAGGGGCTGGCTTGGGTTGGCGGCCGGATTGGAGAGCGAGACTGTAGCAGCCTTGCAGAGAACGCCGCACCGCCTGTGCGCAACGTTCCTGTGGAGCTTGGGGTCCCTGCTCCCTTTCTGAGACACCTCCTCAGTCGGCCTCAGTTCCCTCCTCTGCGCACCTCCCAGCGCTGCGGGATCGTGAATCATAACCGTGGTGTCAGTGGAGGCCCGGATCAGGCTCCCAAGCTCTATATCAATTGTTCAAGTTTAATCTTTATGCTGTGCGACCCTGCTTTTCAAAGCTGGAGGGGACACTCAAGATTAACGCCTTTGACAAACTCCAGACTGACTTGCCTGTGAGTGGGTTCAAGGGAGAGTGAGCAAATGTTGTGGAGATCTTGTCTGTTCATTTCACAGAAGTCCTGTCACCCGTGGCCTCAGCTGAGTGCTAGACACTGATATCTGCCGTCAGGCAGCCCTAGGTCTATGGAGACAGAGCTCTAGGGAGGAGGTGGCTAAGGGAATAAACTGGAGTTCCCAGGCTTAACATTTCCACGCTAGGACTGAAGGAGGACCATTCTCCCCATCGAGGCTGGCCAGGACCTCACCGTACACAGTCAGATAGCTGGGAAAGGGAAATCATCACGAGGACCTTGAAGCAGTGACCTATGGAGCCTGGACTTATGCCTGCTCGGATGGCTGCTTCTCACTGAACTCAATAGGGGAGCTTTTGCGTCTGGTCTGCTGTCTTTGAAGACAGTGCAGCTTCCTTGAGAGCACTGCCATCCTAGAGGATCCACAGGGCCTACCCTCAGGGCAAGGGTGCTCAACTAGGATCAGGCAGAAGAAACAGTTCAAACCATGGGCCTGTCCTGAGTCCTGTGTCCGTGCAGGGCATGGTTCCTGATACCCACCCTGAGTACTTTCTTACTCAGGAGTAACAAAGTGCCCTGTACTGTCATCTGAGAATGTGATCTGGGAGGAAGAGCCACTATAGTTATTAAAAAGGTCTTTCTTATCCTGAGGCCATAACAGGGGCTACTAGTCAGGACAATTTCAGCTGGTTTGTGCAGAAGCCTCCATACCACAATCTGATCATCAACACCTGAGCCAGAGGAGAACTGGCCTTGCGTTTGATGTTCCTGTCTAGCTAGGAGAGCTTCTGGAAGGAGGTGACAGCGTGTGTCACCTTTGCAGTATATATGGAGGGGTTATTAGGAAGAGGCCTTGTGGACCGTGTTCCCTAGGGACTGAGGTAGCCCCTAGTGTGTGAATGCTGCCTAGAACAGAGTGCTCCTTAGGAATGTGAGTGTTCCTTCCGATGGGATGCTTCCTAGGTGAGAATGTGCCCGGTGTGCCCTGGAGAATGGGGGAGCTAAAGGAAGATGAGGAGAAAGGCAAGTGGGCACTGGTCAGATACAAGTGTTAGAGAGATGGCTTCTCCTCCTCGCAGGCAGCACTGTGGACCTCCCCGGATCAAAAAGGAGCCCTCTTGTGAGAAACTGCAGGGACAACAGGTAGCTGTCTCAGGCCCAGACTGTGCACAGCCTCATGCTTACAAGTGATGGCTGGCTAGACACAAGATATATAAAGGCAAAGGGATCTGCGCTGGGGACAGGGTGCAGGGTCAAGCTGGCCAAGGCATCTGGAGGGCTTGCCACTGCATGACCCTTGGGGATGATGGCTACATGTTGTAGGGATGTTGGCCACAGCTCCACTCTGGGGTCAGCGACCAGAGGTAAGAGTTGAGGAGCCTGCTCTTAGTCCTTGGCTTGAGAGCCCTGGGCTGCATTTGGGGCAGATGTTGAGGCCTCTGCAATGACAGGGACATATAAAGAGGCTGGACAGGTTTCTTTGCCCAGAGATAGCTAATTAGGCCTGACAGTCTGCTTCTAGTTGTTCTGTGGCAGGCAAACAGTGTGTGCACCCCAAGAGCAGCTGGTGGCAGGCCACACTGGCAGCAGTGGGTGTGTCTGTACCCACTCTGTGGAGGCATGCTGGGGAGGCCCTGGTACATTTCAGAAGGAAAGCCACATGAAGTGAAGTATCCTGGATATTCAGAGGTATACTGATGAGTGGTGTCTAGAATGATAGGGTTGGTCAGCCAGGACCACAATGCCTGGATGTTGGGTCCTGGACTCTCGATTCTGTTATGGCCTCTAACCAAGGGATTTGGTTGAATGTCTCTGGATGAACCCTGGTAGGTGCTGATGGGCACTTGTCTCCTTGAATTACCCTGCTGCGTTCAGAGGTATACACGAACACATATGTACATCATTCCCCCTGGCCTCATGCATACACATATTCATGTATACACACCCATATGAGTATGCTTATTCAAGTGTGCACACATGTACCCATTGTCTATAAATGTGAATGTCCATGAAGATACACTTGCATGTTGTATGTGTTCATAATACATGTGTGCTTACATACCACTTAATGTGCACATCCACACATTTACGTCATGTGTGTACATACATACCTTTATATGCTTTACAGTGTGCCTGTGTATTTACTCCAGCATATACATGTGTATGTGTATCTGCACCTGTAAGTACCAGTCAAAGACACGTATGCACACACATATGTGCATGTGTATCCACATGCTTATGCTTATGTTCACACACAGTGTATGCACATGTTCATGCATAAGCATGCACACACACAAATATGTCCATGCACATATGCATGTGCAACCATTTACACCTTGATTCTGAAGAAAGTGGAGTCATCAAATGTGAATTTAAGCTCCTGCTCATGTCTTTCTTTGCTGCTTGGCAGTTGAGTGACCCTCCCCCACTCCCAGGCCTCAGTTTCCCTGTCTGTGGAATGAACACATTGCACCACTGCCTCTAAGATTGGTGCTGGCTCAGATACTCCCTGTCCCTGAGGGAGTGTCACATCTGACTTGCCCATCTTTGTCTTTGGTTGGTGCCTGTAGGAGCTGAGGAGAGCCGGGGTCAGGGAGATACCCCATTTCACCTAGCTCCAGCTGGCGACAGAGTCGTGGAAACAGAGCTGGGTCTCTTGTCTCAAGACCAAGAGGACATGTTTTTCTTTGGAGTGGAGCTGAGGATTTTCCCCCTATGTTTATGTGCAGTTTCAGTTTTAAAGATGAGCCAGGGAAAACTGAAGTTTGCCTCCCTCCCTCCCTCTCCCTGAAGAATTCCAGAGACCAATCTGTCTTGTCAGAATGTGGCAGGGATCCGGCAGCCAGGCTAGCTCCTGGCGCCCCAGCCTACAGACTGAATCCATTGCATATTGATCATTGATTTGGCAAAGTCGAGTTCCAACAGAGCTGGCGAAGCCCTCTTGAGGAAGAAGTGCCCGCAGGACTGGCTGGGATTAACACGGAGTATAATGGAAGACAGAGGGTCAGCGTCTCTTACCGAGTCCCCACTGTGGGTCTCAGCACTGGACAGCTGGGGTTCGAGCTTCAGTCTGCTTCTGCATCCCTGGCTACTTGCAGCCTCACTACTTCCAGCCTGCCATTATGCCAGCCTGCACCCTCGAGGCCCATATCAGAGTCCCAGCTGCTCCCACGACTGCCCCAGTTACCTGAGCCTGGTGTTTGCGGGCCTCAGCCCCCAGTCCTCACATCTGTCCCTCACTGGTCTGCAGACACAACCTAGCATTGTCTGTGTGCAGCCCTGCAGCTACACAGATGATCAGATCAAGGGTTCTTTTTCCCTCTTCCTGCTCCTTCAGGCTTGGCTTTTAGAAATTGCTGGTACAGGGCCTGGAGCCTGGACTGTGTGAACAACTGGGTTTAGAGCATGGCCTCAGGAAACCAGTTTTCTTTCATTGATCGCTCTTCAGGATGCCCAGGTCTGTTGACCCTTGGTCCAATGCCTGCTCGCAGCAGGGGCTGTAGGTGGGAGACTGTAGGGCTCAAGCCAGGCAATAAGACTTCCTTGACAAGTGAAAAATGGAGAAGAAGACCTCCTGCTGCCCTCCTTGTTTAGTCATGCGTGTATGAGGGTGTGTTGCCAAGAGATGTAGCAGCTGCCCTGTGAACAAGAAATGACGAGGACAAGGATAAAAGTCACAAAGGAAAGAGTCTATGACCCTAATGCCACTATTTTGGAGCCACCATGAATCACCCTGGAGCCAATCTTGGGCCAGGCTTCCTGCTGTTGAGATATAAACTAAATATACTCTTCCCATTGTGCACGCCAAGTTGCCCATGGTCAAGTTCTCAGGACCTAGAATATGTGGCACCACGTGCCTAAAGTTACCTTTATGTCTGGAGGAATTAAGGATCTTGCCACACAAAGTGTCCTGGAGCATGCCAGTGGGCCCACTGTGAACACAGGAGTCTCTGAGTGAAGGAGAGAGGCAGGCAAGTCATGGGAGATTGGATGATGGAAACAAGCCAGGGCTTACAGAGAAGGAAGGTTCAAAAGGCATGGACTGTAACAGCCACTGGAAGTGGGAGAGACCAGGCAACAGATTCTTCAGCACAGCCTCCAGGAGGATCCAGCCCTGTAGACACAGTGCAGGTCTGTGACATCCAAAACTGTAAAGAAAATGTATATAAGTATGTACACATGTGTACACACGCATGCATGTATGTGCACATACACATGCATACATATATGTGCACATATGCATAATCATGTGTGCACATGTGCCCTTGTATGTGAATACATGTATGTACAGGTATGGGTACATTAATATCCATATGTGTGTATACATGTGCTCATGTATGTATGTGCATGTGTGGTTAGACTCATGTGGGATACTCTGTGCAGCATCAGCAGGAAATGAAGAGACACAGTGGGTAGAACAAGGTTTTATCCACTGTCTGTTGTGCCTTGACTTCTGGATCATCTGCCCATGCCTCAGGTGAACTGAGCTCTTTATTTGTATCATCTAGTCTCTTTAAGAGCTTGACTTTGGTAATTTAAAAAAAATCAATAAAAAAGAACTAATATTTATAATTCCTGATACTTTTTGTAGGCTCTTAATAACCCATGGTTGATATTTATCACTGTTATCATCACTACCATCATCAATCACTACCACTGTCACCACCACACCATTACCACCTCTACCATAACTACCATCATCATCACATATCATCATCACCATCGTCATCACCATCATCATCATCACTATCACCATTACCA